CACAAGCACCGCGCGCCCGGGGCCGGCGCTCACCATGCGCCATGTGCCCAGGGCCAGGCCAGCCCCGAGCACCTGGCGGGCGCATGCAAATGCCCCCGCGGGTGCCATGGTGCCCGCGAGCACAGTGTTGGGGACCACGGGTGTAAATGTTCACTGAGGTGTCTCTGTCACTCAGGGCAGTTATACACAGTGTTCCATTCAATTTTTCCCACGCATACACAGAATGAATTTGTTATGGACACCAAAATGAAGGGAAAGCATTACACAGCATATTGGTGCACAGAACAAACATTCTGTGGGAAGGGGGTGCAGGATTAGGACAGAGTGGGAGAGCAGAGATGTGAGGGCTGTAGTTGGGAGTATGGATTTTGAGGTGCACCACGGATGAGAGGTTTGAGTGCTATCTACTGAAGGGCTACAATGGAAGAGAAGATTCCCCCCAGCCCTCCCCCACCACCACCCAGGTAGTGTTCTGAGGAGGAGGAGAGGCACCTCTCCCTGCCATGGCAGCTCTGGAGCCTGGGACATGGGATAGCCAACTGTCCTCCAGCCATGACAGGCCTGGGCTGAGGCTGAGACATCTCTCCCCACCACGGCCCTGCCCCTTGTGTGTCCACTTCCCTCACCCTGTGTGTGTGAAAGTGAGGGCCACTCTGCTTCCCCCCCCCATAGAGCTGGAGTGTGAGGGGAGTGAGGTATCTCAAATAGGGACCACACCATTGAGAGATTTTTTCCCTCTAACTTTTGTGTGGCCCCAGACCGATTTTCCTGTGGGACAGTGGTCGCTGACCCAATAAAGCAGTGGTCCCCAACCTTTTGGGGCTGCCGGGCACCCGGGGGCAGGGGCCATGCATGCACAGCGCGCCCAGGGCAAGGGCCGCGCATGCGCCGGGTGCCCAGGGTGCAAGAATGGCTTGAGCCGGCCCTGGTCACTAGGCAGATGCACATAAATGCCCCGTCAGGCGCCATGGTGCCCGTGGGCACCACGTTGGGGACCACTGCAATAAAGGTTCCCACCCCTGCTGTAAATAAAGACAATGTTGAAACCTTTTGTTTTGGGCATAAATTAATATTTTACTTTATTTAAAATGAAGTTTGCTACACTAACATGAGAAGGTTAAAGTACTTAACGATTCTGTTTAATGATTTGACAATATTTCCTTTCTTACTGGTTATATACATCCCCTTATGTTACAGCCACCTATGTATGTTTTATGCACCAGGACCCTAATATGAATAAGTTAGTATTTAAAGATAATCAAAGACATTTTGTTGTCACGGGTTGTTGGCTGATGGTCGGTGGAAAGGTTTGCATTGAGCAGGGTGGGTCATGGACCAATAGTTTGAGAATCACTTATGTTAGATTCTAAAGGACTGGCCCAGGGTGCTCTTTTGGGTAAGATCTAAGGTATAAATTGACCTGGGAATGGAGTTGATCTTTTGAGGTTAGAAGAACATGCTCGGATTTGGTGAGATGGATTTTCATAACCTCTCCTATGTGTCAGGTGTGGTGCTGGTTATGGCACAGGAGAAGCTGGCGTTTCTAAGATAATTTCTTGTGTGTCTATTTACTGGCCAGTGTGACACAAAGAAATGCTCTTTGTGCCTTGTTTGACGTCTTACACTGGAGGATTCCCAGGCTTGAGCTGTAAGTAGCCCAGACTCTAAGCAATTCACCTGATTTGATCCTCAAAGCAATCCTGTTATATTACAATAGGGTCTCTCCTATTTGAGATCTCTAATGTGACAGAACGTGTGAGCACTGACTAAAGCTTTTTCTGTTCACACATCTGTCATGGTTCCCTCCTGCCAGATGTTCAATGAGATATCAGCTCTAATTGAATCTTTGCTTACAGTCAGAGCAGTTATAGGGATTCAGTCTTGTGTGAAATGTCTGATGTGCAATGGAGTGTAAATCAGTGGTCCCCAACCTTTTGAGGTTGTTGGGCACCAGAGGGCGTGGCCATTCACCCGTCGGGCGCCAGGGGGCGGGGACAATTGCGCGCCTGGGGGCGGCTCCCCCCCATAGCCGCATGCCCGGGGGCAGC